GACAGTGTACAGAAGCCGGTTGACACAACATGACCTAAAGATGTTAATTGTGATGACCACACTTGTCAAAGTTACAGCCCAGTCTGATACACAGCATGATTGTCAGAAAATTGTGGCAAACCTCCAATCAAATGTTTTATAAGCCTGGTCTGGCCATGTACATGGACATTTAATTGATTTTTACCCTTATATGGCCAGTCAAGGGGATGTGATTGACAGGTACAGGAAACTGTATTTTCAAGCTGATTGATAATGAACGTTACATTAGACCCCCACTGACCAGCCCTAATCTAATGGTAACTAGCACCACTGACTGCCACAAGTCTGACATATACAATCTGCTTTGATTGGCTCAATTCTCGTTTTAAGGTAATACTTCAGAAAATTACTGATAGATGAGTACGCAAACCTGTAAAATTCTCTGAAATGTCATCTTTTATTCATGCTTCAGGTGCAATGCCACTATGAATGGTACCATTACAATAATTGTCAGTGCTTCATATACATCCAAGCTCTTAATGCCACAACTTCTTTTGGGTGACCAAATAAATAATGAGAGTGGACACAAATGGAGCTACTGCAAGCTAGGACTTTTATTATCACAAATCAAATTATGGTACTAGATCTTGTCACATGTCTTGTTGCCATAGTTACCTGACAGCCATTGGCAATCTAGTTGGTTTAATTTGAACCACATGTACCAGTCTAAAACAGGCATTCTCAGATCTGTTAAAAACCTACCATAAATGTCACAACATTCAGAAAACTGGATGGTAACTGACCACACGGTGATCAGTGATACCTAGACTAGGGGATATAACCTACAGATTAAACTCTTTGACCAGTGATGCCTGGATTAAAGTAGACAAACTGACCACTCTCTGACCAGTGATACCTGGACTGAAGTAGACAAACTGACCACTCTCTGAACAGTGATACCTGAACTACAATAGACAAACTGACCACTCTCTGACCAGTGATACCTGAACTACAATAGACAAACTGACCACTCTCTGACCAGTGATACCTGAACTGAAATAGACAAACTGACCTCTCTGAACAGTGATACCTGAACTACAGTGGACAAACTGACCACTCTCTGACCAGTGATACCTGAACAACAATAGACAAACTGACCACTCTCTGACCAGTGATACCTGAACTGAAATAGACAAACTGACCACTCTCTGACCAGTAATACCTGTACTATACTAGACAAACTGACCACTCTCTGAACAGTGATACCTGAACTACAATAGACAAACTGACCACTCTCTGACCAGTGATACCTGAACTATAATAGACAAACAAACCACTCTCTGACCAGTGATACCTGAACTATAATAGACAAACTGACCACTCTCTGACCAGTGATTCCTGAACTATAATAGACAAACTGACCACTCTCTGACCAGTGATTCCTGAACTATAATAGACAAACTGACCACTCTCTGACCAGTGATACCTGAACTATAATAGACAAACTGACCACTCTCTGACCAGTGATACCTGAACTACAATAGACAACCTGACCACTCTCTGACCAGTGATATCTGAAATATAATTGACAAACTGACCTCTCTGAACAGTGATACCTGAACTACAATAGACAAACTGACCAACTCTGACCAGTAATACCTAGAACGGTAGTAATAACACAAGTGACCACTGACTCTGACCAGTGATATTTAGAATGATGCAAAACAACATTTGATTAAGCAATGTGGTACCAATATGTTGGATTTCATTGTTGTCATCATCACTACAAAGAAAGATGAGTTTATATATGTTCAGTATCGTGATGAAAACCAATATGAGTCTGATTCATACATTTGTTTTATTTTGAGAAACACTGACCTCTAGATCCTAGAAACCTATCAACCTCTATACTGTCAAAGTCAATTCAGAATCTCAATTGATTCTGACATCACCCTCTGAATCCTTTCAGCTGTAGTGGGCAGGTTTAATTGTGATATCTGAGGTGGTGAAGACAATGAACCATTGAAGTTTGATACATGAGCTAAAAACTAAAAATAACTTGTGAATCACAGACATGCATAAAATCCTCCTCCTCACCATACATAGCAGTGACATTGTCTGACAGTGTACATGCAAAACCTGCTCACAGGTAAATAATTAAAGCAGGTTATGAAAGTATGTGACGCAGTCAATGGATACTGTAGTACAGAGTAATTAGCCTGCAGGATTCTTCAATCTTCTCCTTCACTTCAGAGATAGCTTTGCTATAACCCCTGGGAAAATGATTTCACAAACTATTCTAACATTTCATAATGACATTCTGATGAAAACATTCTAGCTGAGTGATGTTTTATCACTCTACATTGATGTGTGACTATCATAGTCAGTAGCAACCTGTTCAAAAATTTGTCTCTTGATTGCTTACAGGTAAAATTTTATGATCCCAAAGGTAATGATGGCCTTAAAGTGATAAATATACAAAGAATAGACTATCATACAAGGAATAAGACTTAGTTACAGAGATCAGGACAATTTTTACACCTGATTAATTCAAAACAATTCAGGAGTAATGAAAGGCAAATTATACCTATATACAAAGTTCATGTATAGAATCACATGTAAAATACCACTAGATTTCATGGTCTGTATCACATGTAATATATCACTAGATATCATGGTCTGTATCACATGTAAAATATCACTAGATGTCATGGTCTGTATCACATGTAAAATATCACTAGATATCATGGTCTGTATCACATGTAATATATCACTAGATATCATGGTCTGCATCACATGTAAAATATCACTAGATATCATGGTCTGTATCACATGTTAAATATCACTAGATGTCATGGTCTGTATCACATGTAATATATCACTAGATATCATGGTCTGCATCACATGTAAAATATCACTAGATATCATGGTCTGTATCACATGTTAAATATCACTAGATATCATGGTCTGCATCACATGTAATATATCACTAGATGTCATGGTCTGTATCACATGTAATATATCACTAGATATCATGGTCTGCATCACATGTAAAATATCACTAGATATCATGGTCTGTATCACATGTTAAATATCACTAGATATCATGGTCTGTATCACATGTAAAATATCACTAGATGTCATGGTCTGTACCACATGTAAAATATCACTAGATGTCATGGTCTGCATCACATGTAATATATCACTAGATATCATGGTCTGCATCACATGTAAAATATCACTAGATATCATGGTCTGTATCACATGTTAAATATCACTAGATATCATGGTCTGCATCACATGTAATATATCACTAGATGTCATGGTCTGTATCACATGTAATATATCACTAGATATCATGGTCTGCATCACATGTAAAATATCACTAGATATCATGGTCTGTATCACATGTTAAATATCACTAGATGTCATGGTCTGTATCACATGTAAAATATCACTAGATATCATGGTCTGTATCACATGTAATATATCACTAGATATCATGGTCTGCATCACATGTAAAATATCACTAGATATCATGGTCTGCATCACATGTAATATATCACTAGATGTCATGGTCTGTATCACATGTAATATATCACTAGATATCATGGTCTGCATCACATGTAAAATATCACTAGATATCATGGTCTGTATCACATGTTAAATATCACTAGATGTCATGGTCTGTATCACATGTAAAATATCACTAGATATCATGGTCTGTATCACATGTAAAATATCACTAGATATCATGGTCTGTATCACATGTAAAATATCACTAGATATCATGGTCTGTATCACATGTAATATATCACTAGATATCATGGTCTGTATCACATGTAATATATCACTAGATATCATGATCTGTATCACATGTAATATATCACTAGATATCATGGTCTGTATCACATGTAATATATCACTAGATATCATGGTTCTGTATAACAGTACAATCTATTGGAACAATCATATTGTTGTTTATTTGCATTATCAGTTAAGTTTTAATAAATAAGTGATAAGTGATATAAGTGATAAGTGATTCATGAGTTTCCACCACAAAACTCTACAGGTTAGTGCTACCTAATATATACTTTAGTACACATTTTACAAAAATAACATGAGTTCAAGCAGGAATGTTAGTCCTCAGATTAGTGGAGAATTAAGACATGCTCTATCACAACTACGAATAGAAACCATATTACAACATCAAATACAATATAGTGTTAGAAATCATGTACAAAATTGATACATGTGCCTACAAAGAATTCTGCTTAAATCAGATTCAGTCTGATGTAGATTTTACAGGACACACAATCACACCATCAATGCTCAAGGAAGGAGTCCTTTTTGTGTTAAATATTCTTCAGATGTCAATGAGTATACTGTAATCCTTTAAAATTGAAATTTTTGTAGCCTCAACAACAAGCAATACGAACTGATATAAACTGAAAGATGAAAAACACAGGGACGACAGAAATAGATTTCTGGGTCTAAAATAGAAATGGAAATGATTCTGTGAAGCCATTTGTATTGGATCACAGTAAGGAATGCTGTGGTAGCGTCAGAGCATTGCTGATGGTTATACAATAACTACCACAGACAACATCTGTTTACTAACTCTCTATCAAAAATACAAATTCATGACCATGCACTTTAAGCTTGTATTTATCTGTATTTCTCATAATGATCCTATCCGAAATGTAACTTAAGAGAAACATCCATTATGTGATGAGAAACAGGTGTTTTCATTTACTTGCGGTTGTGTATACTAGTTTGATATTACTCATGACCAATTCGACATAACCAGAACCTAAAATTGACATAACATGAGAATAAATATTGAAAAAATTAGGAAATATGCAAGTTTATTTTCATCAAGAACATACAGTGTATAATATATAGTGTTCATGCTTTGTTAGAGAGGGCACTGTTAGACAACAGAAATGGCGGGAAACGATGGGATGTGCAGACGGTGACTATACCATTACATGCTACAGAGATAGTGACTTTCGGTTTACCTTTATACTCTCTATGTAGGCCTGAGATACTCGGGACTTCTCTACCTTTTCACTAATGGAAGCTTTACGAACATTTCCTTTTAGAGCAGCTACAAATAAAATGTCAAATCATGTTGTAAATTTGTTAAAAATTAATAATGTCATAAAAAACATCATACAGTTAATGTCATGTTAAAAAACAAACCCTGTTATTGGACAACATATAAATCATTGCTTACTCTCTTGTACAGTTATCTATTTGTATGTATGACATCTCCATTTCATGCATTACATCACTTTCAACTGAAAGACATCTGTGTTACATGTAAGTATCTTGGTTATATCAGAGCACACAACAGCTTTCATCAGTGGTGTTAAATACCAAAGCACACTTGTCGGGTCACAAATTAAACGAAAAGATCTAAAGTGCCTGTTAAATTGCTTACCAAGATAATAACCAATCATAGCCAATCATTTTCTTCAAATATTGAAAATAGTTTTTTCATTTTTAGCACAACATCCATGGGGTAGTATATTTGCTTGTAACATTTTAAACTTATGACTGAGGACTTTAAAGTATTTTTCTTGATTCTGCAAGGCCAATGTACAAGGATGGTGTGTCAATTATCGGTCTGCAGCCACATAAGCTGGTAAATGATTGCAGAGTACAAGTATCAGCCTTTTTTATGTTAGGACCAAGATATTGTATATGCTCCCGTGAAATGGCAAATCCCAAAAGACAATCATGATAACATATTGTTGGCATGATACCGCCAATCAGTTGCGTATCAGTAACTATATAAGAGTAGGTCATTTCTGTCAGACAACTTTGTGCATCTTGTAATATCTTTCATTAAGCTAAGCTGGCCAAATCTTGCAATTGTGGCCAGCGAAGATGACTAATTAAGTTTACATTTGTACCTGTAACAATCCAAATTTGCCTCTGACCCAGGTCAGTAACTAAAAAAATCAGCATTTGGCATGCTTATTTACATAACATACCCACATATTATGATTCTGAGTTTTTACACCATCAAAAATATTATGTAGAGTTTTTGAACGTTTGACCACTGTGATCTTGAAAGCAGAACGACAGCCAGCATGCCTGTTATCTCACCAAACCTTTTATAACGCAGAGTAGACCTGTTTTGAAGACGAACCTGCTGAAAAAGGATTTAGACAATGGGTTTGCACAATAGGATCAGCTCATAAATGATTGAACTAATTTTCATATCTGTAATGTTGACCCCAGCTCTGTCACTGACAAACAGGACTATGAGACATGTAAAGACAAGATTTGTCAGGCAACACAATGACAACCTGGTCAGACTAATAATCTTTAACAGCTAGTTTTGATCAAGAAGCCAGTGCATGATATGGATGGTTGTGGAACAGAAACTCTTTTTAGAGACAATAAAGTAATTCATCAATATGATAAAGTCCAGGAATCTGATTGAAGATAGGGATCTACTTTATCTACTTTATCTACTTTATCGTGACCTTAGATCATACATTCTACTTGATATTGAAATCCTTAATTTGTTTGAATTGAAATGTTGAAAATCCTCTTTGTCTCATGGCTATCTGAAGAGCTTTAAACGTACACATAAAATATTCATTGGTTCTAATGTCATGAAGAATTTCTTTAGATGTGCAAATGCCATAGACATGCATTATATATTGTAAGCTAAGAATTTATTAAAACAACTTTACATATTCAGCATATTTCATTTGAAATCTACTGTTATTTCCCATTTAAATATTCATACTGCTAGTCTTAGTATCAAACTGTGAAAATGCAAATTTAAAGGTTCCTTTAGGGAGGTTTCTATCGGGAGGTTCCTACAGGGATGTCCCTTTAGGGAGGTTCCTATAGGGAGGTTCCTACAGGCAGGTTCCTATAGGGAGGTTCCTGTAGGGAGGTTCCTATAGGGAAGTTACTACACAGGAGACGACATCAATACCAGAGCAACACATCAGCACTGCATGCTTCTCTATCATTTTGTAATAAGGAATGAAAATTCTGTCGTGTTTACAAATATCTTGAAAACAGAGTCCAATACACATTGAATTCAACACACACCAGATATGAGCCTTGTAAGGGTTCCATCATTCCTTGTAACTCAGGCAAAATGTGTCTAACACAAAACTGTTGATGGCTGTCAATGGATTAAACACATCTTAAACACCTAAGATGTGGAGGAATTCAGTATTTGCTAGTTCAATGGAGGAATGTTTATAGGAACTGAGTGTAATGATAAACGGTTCTATAACCTTCAAATAACCTGAGAGTCCCTGTGTTTAGCTTAATTGATTGAAGTAACAAAAACATAAAGACCAAATTACATATATGTGAAAGAATGTTTTAAGTGTAAAACAATAACATTCGTTACACAAATATCACTACATCAACAACACAGTGTGTATCTAAGTAAAGTTAGAAGTTCATTGTTTACACTATATAGGACATTCCAGTCTGTGATTATGTAAATATCACAGATAATAAAACTGGCTATTTTTGTAGTTCCAGTATTTTGACTATAAAACACTGTTTGTAATTGGGCTGCCTTATAACTAACTGAACTGTTTGTATATCTAGCAAGAGTTACCTCTGTAACGACATGTGTCTACTAGTGGTCAGTAGTATCATGCTAAAGTTACATAAACCCTGTTAACTGAGAGTGTCTTCTTGTATTTATAGAAACCCTGGTAACTGAGGGTGTCTACATGTATTTATAGAAACCGTGGTAACTGAGGGCGTCTACTAGTATTTATAGAAACCGTGGTAACTGAGGGTGTCTACATGTATTTATAGAAACCCTGGTAACTGAGGGTGTCTAATTGTATTTATAGAAACCCTGGTAACTGAGGGTGTCTAATTGTATTTATAGAAACCGTGGTAACTGAGGGTGTCTACATGTAGTTATAGATACCGTGGTAACTGAGGGTGTCTACATGTAGTTATAGATACTGTGGTAACTGAGGGTGTCTAATTGTATTTATAGAAACCCTGGTAACTGAGGGGGTCTACTTGTATTTATAGAAACCATGGTAACTGAGGGGGTCTACTTGTATTTATAGAAACCGTGGTAACTGAGGGTGTCTACATGTAGTTATAGATACCGTGGTAACCGAGGGTGTCTACAGGTAGTTATAGATACTGTGGTAACTGAGGGTGTCTATTTGAAGTTACATAAACCCTGTTAACTGAGAGTGTCTAATAGTATTTTTATATGTAGTATTTACAGGTGAAGATCTAATTTGTGTTGTCCAATGCTTCCTTCCCATGGCGGGTCTTGTCTTTCATGGAAACTGAGAAAGGGACTGGTCTGTGCTGACATGACTGTGTCCTTGGGCAAGACACTTTAACCTTATCGCTCTGAATGGCATGCGATGAGTCGCCCTGAATGGCATGCGATGAGTCTCTCATCTGTTGTTCAGTGAGGGAGTGACCAGCTACTACAAAGAGACCTTGCCACAGAATCACCCTCGCTGTTCATCAAGTGATAAATCAAGCAAACAAAGGAAGAAATCCATTACCATGTCAAAACACATTAAGTTTATTTAAAGCCGTTCTTTCCTGAGATAAAACTGTGTAGTCATCCAAACCTAATTTTATGACAGCTTAATTGGAAAACTGGTCACGATCAAGAAATAGAGATTGGGAATCAATGACAACCAATGATAAGATCTACGACTGACTTACAGAAATACAGATAGGAGTATACTGTACTGTAATGCAACAGACAGACAATTCTACTGACAAAACAGTATGGTAACTGACTAGAGTACCTATAGACAATTCTACTGACAAAACAGTATGGTAACTGACTAGAGTACCTACAGACAATTCTACTGACAGCCCAGTATGGTAACTGACTAGAGTACCTACAGACAATTCTACTGACAGCCCAGTATGGTAACTGACTAGAGTACCTACAGACAATTCTACTGACAGCCCAGTATGGTAACTGACTAGAGTACCTACAGACAATTCTACTGACAGCCCAGTATGGTAACTGACTAGAGTACCTACAGACAATTCTACTGACAGCCAAGTATGGTAACTGACTAGAGTACCTACAGACAATTCTACTGACAGATCAGTATGGTAACTGACTAGAGTACCTACAGACAATTCTACTGACAGCCCAGTATGGTAACTGACTAGAGTACCTACAGACAATTCTACTGACAGCCCAGTATGGTAACTGACTAGAGTACCTACAGACAATTCTACTGACAGATCAGTATAGAAACAGATTGGAGTATGGATGACAGCCCAGTATAGAAACAGATTGGAGTATGGATGACTGCCCAGTATAGAAACAGATTGGAGTATGGATGACTGCCCAGTATAGAAACAGATTGGAGTATGGATGACAGCCCAGTATAGAAACAGATTGGAGTATGGATGACAGCCCAGTATAGAAACAGATTGGAGTATGGATGACTGCCCAGTATAGAAACAAATTGGAGTATGGATGACTGCCCAGTATAGAAACAGATTGGAGTATGGATGACTGCCCAGTATAGAAACAGATTGGAGTATGGATGACTGCCCAGTATAGAAACAGATTGGAGTATGGATGACTGCCCAGTATAGAAACAGATTGGAGTATGGATGACAGCCCAGTATAGAAACAGATTGGAGTATGGATGACTGCCCAGTATAGAAACAGATTGGAGTATGGATGACAGCCCAGTACAGAAACAGATTGGAGTATGGATGACTGCCCAGTACAGAAACAGATTGGAGTATGGATGACTGCCCAGTATAGAAACAGATTGGAGTATGGATGACAGCCCAGTACAGAAACAGATTGGAGTATGGATGACTGCCCAGTATAGAAACAGATTGGAGTATGGATGACAGCCCAGTATAGAAACAGATTGGAGTATGGATGACAGCCCAGTATAGAAACAGATTGGAGTATGGATGACTGCCCAGTATAGAAACAGATTGGAGTATGGATGACAGCCCAGTATAGAAACAGATTGGAGTATGGATGACTGCCCAGTACAGAAACAGATTGGAGTATGGATGACAGCCCAGTATAGAAACAGATTGGAGTATGGATGACAGCCCAGTATAGAAACAGATTGGAGTATGGATGACAGCCCAGTATAGAAACAGATTGGAGTATGGATGACAGCCCAGTATAGAAACAGATTGGAGTATGGATGACAGCCCAGTATAGAAACAGATTGGAGTATGGATGACAGCCCAGTATAGAAACAGATTGGAGTATGGATGACAGCCCAGTATAGAAACAGATTGGAGTATGGATGACAGCCCAGTATAGAAACAGATTGGAGTATGGATGACAGCCCAGTATAGAAACAGATTGGAGTATGGATGACAGCCCAGTATAGAAACAGATTGGAGTATGGATGACAGTATAGAAACAGATTGGAGTATGGATGACAGCCCAGTATAGAAACAGATTGGAGTATGGATGACAGCCCAGTATAGAAACAGATTGGAGTATGGATGACTGCCCAGTACAGAAACAGATTGGAGTATGGATGACAGCCCAGTATAGAAACAGATTGGAGTATGGATGACAGCCCAGTATAGAAACAGATTGGAGTATGGATGACAGCCCAGTATAGAAACAGATTGGAGTATGGATGACAGATCAGTATAGAAACAGATTGGAGTATGGATGACAGCCCAGTATAGAAACAGATTGGAGTATGGATGACAGCCCAGTACAGAAACAGATTGGTGTATGGATGACAGCCCAGTATAGAAACAGATTGGAGTATGGATGACAGCCCAGTATAGAAACAGATTGGAGTATGGATGACAGCCCAGTATAGAAACAGATTGGAGTATGGATGACAGCCCAGTATAGAAACAGATTGGAGTATGGATGACTGCCCAGTATAGAAACAGATTGGAGTATGGATGACAGCCCAGTACAGAAACAGATTGGAAAGCTGTACACAGACCATCCTTTGTACAATTCAGCCTCTTTGATAACCTGCTTAAATGAGTTAGAGATAATTTTGTCACACTCTTTATAAACAAGAGATGAGAAGATGGCAGCCAGATTTTAAAATCCATACAATAGTGGTTGCTTGGAAGATTGGCCTGAGAAGCCTGTACCCTATTGACTGACCTGACTAATCCTCTATATTGAATATCTCTAGTTATGCTATTTATAACATCAGTGAACTATAATCACTGGTAAAGGTATATACTATAGAGTGACATAATAGAGAAATCAATTGATGACTCAATTTCTCCAAGAGTTGGACCAGATAAGATTTCCAGACTGACATTAATGTCGGAGATACTTATAGATAGCACATCACCAAAATGGCTGCTGATGATTGGAGTGTGATGCTGTCGTATTGATCTCAGTGTGAGAAGGACTGTAAGACAGCTGACGACATCTAACAACCCACCGCCTGATGTACGACATTCATTACAATAATAAGGATCAGTTTAAGACATTTTCCTTCCCTGAACCCAATCAATGAACTGGCGCCAGCACACTAAGGCATACCAGGGCAAGTTTTGTGCATTAATGCTAAATTTAGGAAAACTGATTACCTTAGTTCTATATATATTATCCATTCACCTGATGCTGTCCAGAATTTTTTGCTTCATGTACATGTTTCTTTAAAGTACACCAAACTCTTTTTATGATTGTAGAGTGTAAACTCAAACATATCATATTAAAATCTTGTGGTCAAAAACACGCGTTAGATACAGGAATTCTGGTTAAAGTAACCCCGCTAAATGAACCGTAAATACCAGTCAAAATGACCCTTCAAACTACAGGAAACTCCAGTCAAAGTGACCTACAAAGCATAGAGGAAATACCACAAGTCAAAGTGATCCACTAACTGTACAGGAAACAGCAGTCAATGTGACCTAAAAACTGTACAGGAAACAGCAGTCAATGTGACCTAAAAACTGTACAGGAAACAGCTGTCAATGTGACCTAAAAACTGTACAGGAAACAGCAGTCAATGTGACCTAAAAACTGTACAGGAAACAGCAGTCAATGTGACCTAAAAACTGTACAGGAAACAGCAGTCAATGTGACCTAAAAACTGTACAGAAAACAGCAGTCAATGTGACCTAAAAACTGTACAGGAAACAGCAGTCAATGTGACCTAAAAACTGTACAGGAAACAGCAGTCAATGTGACCTAAAAACTGTACAGGAAACAGCAGTCAATGTGACCTAAAAACTGTACAGGAGAGAACAGTGACCCAACTAATTGTACAGGAAACACAACGGGTCAAAGTGACCCACTAACTGTACAGGAAACAGCAGTCAATGTAACCCACTAACTGTACAGGAAACAGCAGTCAATGTGACCTAAAAACTGTACAGGAAACAGCAGTCAATGTGACCTAAAAACTGTACAGGAAACAGCAGTCAATGTGACCTAAAAACTGTACAGGAAACAGCAGTCAATGTGACCTAAAAACTGTACAGGAAACAGCAGTCAAAGTGACCCACTAACTGTACAGGAAACAGCAGTCAAAGTGACCCACTAACTGTACAGGAAACACAACGGGTCAAAGTGACCAACTAACTGTACAGGAAACAATGGTAAAAGATACCAACTAATTATACAAGAAATATTGGATGGTCACTATGTAATGTTACCTTGCTCTGCATCCTCTTGGTCTGCTGTGTCTATTTCAACTTCTCCCTGTTTACCATGCTCATCTGCTACACCAAACACGAACTCGTCTCCCTTTCGGTTGGCAGCCTTCTGCTCTGCAGACAAACTTGAGTTGTCAATTGTGTCCATATTTGCTACGTTTGCTGAGGTAGTATTAATCTCCCCTGGCTGTGTGCTGTCAGCACCACTAGAGGGCTCTGTTGAGTCCCTTTCTGTTGTCCGTATAGAAGCAGAAATTATTTCTTGGCGTTTAATCTCTTCACTCTCTTCAGGTAAATGAGAAGAAACTGCCTCCTTAGTAGCCTCTGGCTGACCTGTTCCTTCACCTTTTGTTTCCTTGACCTCTACACTTTGACCTTCAGGTATGCTTGGTTGTTCAGCAGAGTTCACAGTCATGGGCCTTGGAACTTGACGTCCTGATAAATAGGTATCTGTAAAATACATGAAACAATATGGTGAGTGTAACAACCAACAACAGTCATCAAATTCTGAATTTTCAGCCTTACCTAGTTGTAAGTGTTACCTGCTAGTCCAGCACCATGACAGATGGACTAGACTTCACATAAAGAATCACTGTAGTAATATGCTTTAGAGTCCCACTTTGTTTATGGATAACATCCAATGAAATCAATCTGTGTGTTTGCTTTGCGTGGCTGGAGAGTATTTATAGAGGAAGTCCTCCTTTGGTCTGTATTTCAATACTTAATCTTTATGTGTCTCAGTGTTTATGATACCAGATCTCTCCAAAAGTAGGTGGAATAGTGACTTAAATGGCCATATACAACACTAGCTTAATGTCACATCTTGTTCCAGTCTTCATTGATTTTCAGCCTCCCTTCCTTACATTTTCTTATTGTACACAATATTGCTTGTGATGTGCTGATATTAAACCCAGGGTTCTAGACTAAACCTGTCCACAGTGTCCAGATCACCCATTCCACCAAGGTAAACAACAGTGGAACCCAATGAAGGTCCTTCACCAAACTCAATAGTTACTTTATGTGACCAGGTTTTCTGTGCACACTTTTGTGCTGGGCCTCCTCAGACTGAAGGTTTAGCCTCTCAATGGTTGTAACACTACAATATTCTGTCACTGTAAAGTTCAATGAGATTCAGATTGATCTTATACGTTAAAGATAATGAACTTTACATCCTTAATGAAATCAATCAGGGACTGGTATTATCAAGTGATGACATACAGGTAAATTTATGTACATGTCGTTAGAGAGGGTGAATATGATGGCCCGTCTTTAAACCTACCTGGTGATAATCCAACAGTTATTGGTGGCTATAAAGATATCGAGGGCTATATAAGATTAAACCCAGCAGACAAATTGGCCATTCAAGACCTCTTGCAGGTCATTAACAAATCCAAGTTGCTTAAACATGCAATAAAAACCAAATTATATTCCAGGGGCCCTATGCTCCACCTTTTCCTTCTATATTGCTCCCTAACATTTGAAAACGAATTGATATTGAAATTTTGTACATCATTTTTGTTTGTATGGCAGAGAATATTTTGTTTAATTAAAACACCTGTACATATTGACAAACCTCCAAGATGTACCAGGTGTATGAGAGCTTTGTATTACACTACAATCGGATTCTCTAGGCGTGTCCACATTGGACTTATACTGAGCAGCATTGGTGTGCCACATGACAGATTGCACTCAAACACTACAACAGAGGAAAACTTTGAGGGCAGTTCATGAAGAGGAAATTTCTGGATTGAATATTATTTCAGAGAATTTTTAGATATTTCAATTAACCTATGACTTTGTAACAAGGTGAAGATCAGTGCTACTTCAGACAATTTATTAAGTAAAGGGCCAAGTGGCCTGTATTGTACATGTTTGATTTTTGTCACAATGATATACAGACAAGTATTATGATATGTATTTACAATTCAGTTGAAGGCTATGCAAACCTCAGTAAATCAACAGGGTAGAGCTGACATTGCTGGCATTTCTTAATTAGTTGTAACTATGCTTCATTTTAGCATTATTATGAAAATATGATTATAAATCATATATGAACAGTGCACCTATGAATACTTTGACATACACTTCTATCATATGGCAAGAACTTTCCTGTCCATTTATTCTGGAAAGAAAAACACAGAGAGTATTGACCAATGTGAAAGCTCCACTCTGTACATCCTAGAGCAGGGAGGGATAGTGTTTTACGTGCCAGACTTTATAAAGACAGCTAATACTCTGGGTCAATAAATCCAACACTGGAGAAGTCTGAAACACAGAAACCATTCTCATTGAAATCTTTAGAATTATCCTTAAACAGATTTACTTGTTCTCTTCAGTTCAAATATTTCTCAATTATAAAGAACAAATTTGCCTGCTTGGGTATAGCTAATGCCTCTATCAGCACTATTAATACTGTAAGTTTAGAGATCTGTTTGATGTACGACCACACTTGTGAGTTATCTTTAGACTGACTGGAATCCATACCATTGAGTGGAAGTGAGCTTTACACAGCCTGCCTGTGTCTAAAAGTAGAATATAATTGATTATGTGATGTGTATTAAGATAATTTGTCATTTATTGCAGATAGGATGATAAAAACAAGTTTTATCCAAACACATGAGGCAGCACTTGTGTGGTTTCATCAATTTCTATTTACTTTCCTCTCCATTTTAATAATTTTGATAATCAACTCGTCATGGCTTATAAATCATACAGCATTTTTGCTCTTACGTCTTGATTAATGCTATCAGATGAATGAATATGTTTCTGGTAATAAATCTTTCTGCATGGATCTCCCCAATCTCTACCACAGTGTATCACAGTACCTTACTCTTCATTTTGTATTGTGACTGTAAGGAAAGACAACTCTGGTAGAGATGAAATCTTCCCACACCTTTATCTACTTAGGACCACTTGTCTATAATGGATATTTCCCTTACCAGTGGTGTGACACTGATGTGATAAGGACAAGACAGTGGTGTGATAGTGGTGTGACAGTGATGTGACAAGGACAAGACAGTGGTGTGATAGTGGTGTGACAAGGGTGTAAGAGCGGTATGATTGTGATCTGACAGGGATGTGACAACAGTGTGATATGGATCTTACAGTGGTGAGATAGTGGTGTGACGGTGATGTGACACGGACATGATAGTGGTGTGATAGTGATGTGACAGTGATGTGACAGTGATGTAACAGTGGTGAGATAGTGGTGTGACGGTGATGTGACAAGGACAAGACAGTGGTGTGATAGTGGTGTGACAAGGGTGTAAGAGCGGTGTGATTGTGATCTGACAGGGATGTGACAACAGTGTGATATGGATCTTACAGTGGTGAGATAGTGGTGTGACGGTGATGTGACACGGACATGATAGTGGTGTGATAGTGATGTGACAGTGATGTGACAGTGATGTAACAGTGGTGAGATAGTGGTGTGACGGTGATGTGACAAGGACAAGACAGTGGTGTGATAGTGATGTGACAACAGTGTGATATGGATCTTACAGTGGTGAGATAGTGGTGTGACGGTGATGTGACACGGACATGATAGTGGTGTGATAGTGATGTGACAGTGATGTGACAGTGATGTAACAGTGGTGAGATAGTGGTGTAACGGTGATGTGACAAGGACAAGACAGTGGTGTGATAGTGATGTGACAACAGTGTGATATGGATCTTACAGTGGTAAGATAGTGGTGTGACGGTGACATCTAAATAACTTAACATCACATTATCAGTGTCGGTGACACTTTTATGTCAACCCTCTGTGCCTAACCCAATGAGCCTTGACCAGAGGTTTTTCTGTCAGTGATCAAACTGACACTTACTGTCAACCTTGTGATCCCAACAGATGATCCTCTCCTGTCAGGCTGACACTTTTCTGTCAACCTTGTGATCCTTGAACAGAGGGTGACACTTTTCTGTCAACCTTGTGATCCTTGAACAGAGGATGACACTTTTCTGTCAACCCTTGGAGCCTTGAACAGAGGATGACACTTTTCTGTCAACCCTTGGAGCCTTGACCAGAGGGTGACACTTTTCTGTCAACCCTTGGAGCCTTGAACAGAGGGTGACACTTTTCTGTCAACCTTGGAGCCTTGACCAGAGGGTGACACTTTTCTGTCAACCCTTGAGCCTTGAACAGAGGGTGACACTTTTCTGTCAACCTTGGAGCACTTTTCTGTCAACCCTTGGAGCCCTGACCAGAGGATGACACTTTTCTGTCAACCTTGTGATCCTTGAACAGAGGGTGACACTTTTCTGTCAACCTTGTGATCCTTGAACAGAGGGTGACACTTTTCTGTCAACCCTTGGAGCCCTGACCAGAGGGTGACACTTTTCTGTCAACCTTGTGATCCTTGAACAGAGGGTGACACTTTTCTGTCAACCTTGTGATCCTTGAACAGAGGATGACACTTTTCTGTCAACCTTGTGATCCTTGAACAGAGGGTGACACTTTTCTGTCAACCTTGTGATCCTTGAACAGAGGGTGACACTTTTCTGTCAACCTTGTGATCCTTGAACAGAGGGTGACACTTTTCTGTCAACCTTGTGATCCTTGAACAGAGGGTGACACTTTTCTGTCAACCTTGTGATCCTTGAACAGAGGGTGACACTTTTCTGTCAACCTTGTGATCCTTGAACAGAGGATGACACTTTTCTGTCAACCTTGTGATCCTTGAACAGAGGGTGACACTTTTCTGTCAACCCTTGGAGCCCTGACCAGAGGGTGACACTTTTCTGTCAACCTTGTGATCCTTGAACAGAGGGTGACACTTTTCTGTCAACCTTGTGATCCTTGAACAGAGGGTGACACTTTTCTGTCAACCTTGTGATCCTTTCTTCAACCCTTGAACAGAGGGTGACACTTTTCTGTCAACCTTGGAGCCTTTTCTGTCAACCTTGTGAGAGAGGGTGACACTTTTCTGTCAACCTTGTGATCCTTGAACAGAGGGTGACACTTTTCTGTCAACCTTGTGATCCTTGAACAGAGGATGACACTTTGACACTTTTCTGTCAACCTTGTGATCCTTGAACAGAGGGTGACACTTTTCTGTCAACCCTTGGAGCCTTGACCAGAGGGTGACACTTTTCTGTCAACCCTTGGAGCCTTGACCAGAGGGTGACACTTTTCTGTCAACCCTTGGAGCCCTGACCAGAGGGTGACACTTTTCTGTCAACCCTTGGAGCCATGACCAGAGGGTGACACTTTTCTGTCAACCCTTGGAGCCTTGAACAGAGGGTGACACTTTGCTGTCAACCCTTGGAGCCCTGACCAGAGGGTGACACTTTTCTGTCAACCTTGTGATCCTTGAACAGAGGGTGACACTTTTCTGTCAACCCTTGGAGCCTTGACCAGAGGGTGACACTTTTCTGTCAACCCTTGGAGCCATGACCAGAGGGTGACACTTTTCTGTCAACCCTTGGAGCCCTGACCAGAGGGTGACACTTTT